CACGCAGCTTTTTCATTTGGAAATTGAAATGAAGAAAAGTATTAGTGTTGACATTATTTCCACCAAACAGTTAACCTGTGACATGCTATAAATGATTGATACTTAGAAAATTGAATTCTTAATATCAGCTGCACCATGACTTAGTTCATTAATTAGTGCTTTTCTGCTTTATCCTCTCCATTAAAATCGGGGATTTTATCATTTTTCACAAATAATACTTTTCTTCACCTAAACTACAAATTCCTACTCATATATGACCACATTATTAAAGGAGCCTGTCATTTTGAAACTAGGAATAAGCCAAATTATTAAAATATGCTTACTTAATATAATTATTGCATGCTTATTTTCATAGTTAAATTTAGGCAACACATACAGGAATCTCCTCTCTAGAAATCCCTAAAAGATAGTATGGAGATATTCTATCTATATTTATAACTATTTTTTATAGTTGTTTATTTTACTTGGGGAGAAGGAAAGAGGGAAGGGAGTTTAGAGGAGTGAATGCGAGCTTGGGGTGTAGTTTTGGGGAACTAGACCTTGAGTAAGATAGGGCAGTTATCTGACTACCATCATTAAATGACTACCCCTTGCAATTCTAAATATTGAGATAAAGCTATTACTTTTTTTTAGGGATTTTATTATTCTTAACCAAATTTGGAAATCAGTAATATTTGATGATTTTTGATTTCACATTAAAAACATTTCCTTAAACACAAACCTTCCCCCCTCCCCCATAATTATAGTTTAAGGCTTCTTTCCAAATATCTCCTTTAAGACTGTTCAGGGTGTTCACTTTGAATATCAAGTATATGAAACAATTTTAAGGGGAAAAGAACAAATATAGTTAATAGTTTAATAATTCTTAATTAAACTTTAAAAAATGTTATTTGATTTGATAGGTAAGATGTCAGCGGAGTGATTATAAATTTAGAAATGTATGACAATTCTCTAACCTTTAGAATATTTAAGGAAGATACTTTGTAGAAACAATAGGAGAAACATCTAAATGTTCATCATCGTCGATATAAAAATAGTGGAAATAAGAGCAGTGAGCCAGAATTTATTTCAGAAGGCAAGTTGTATAAAGATAAAACTTTGTATCAGCTGTACATAGTCCGCGTTGAATGTCTATAATTGTTTGAAGCTTCTAGCTCCAAGTTACATGGTTGTTCCTGGGAAGCAAGTGTGATGGAGAGAAAGTCTTACCAATAAATCAAAATTTCTGGTAAATTAAAAGTTACTTCTTGGTGCCACAAGGAAGAATCTCACTCCCATTATCATACTTTGCTTTATTTCTTTTCTGATATTTACAATAGCTCCCCCTGCCTCCAAAAAAGATACTAATTCTCTCTCCTTACTTTGAATAAAATGAGATCTAAATGCTCCACCCCATTTCTACCCCCAGTTGTACTGGCAGCTGTGGCTACATGGACTCTTGCTGGCCTTTCAGTTCCTGCATATGAGATCAAAGATGTGTATGTGGTAAAGTAGAGCTTGGAGGTTTGCTAGAGAACAGTATGGTGTTTTCTACAGATAAGCTATACAAACACACAATTAACCAGAGTTCATTATTTTAAAAGTAGCTGGGTTTTTTTTTTTTCTCTTTAGGAAAAAAAAGAAATATGTTTTGCTTAGTTCAAAAAGTATTTGAAGAAGTTATTTTTTAATATTATTTTTGACATTTCAAGATGTTTACTCTTTCTATTGAGTTGTCCGTATTTTAATACCTGTCTTTAGGTTTTAAAGTGAAAGGTGATGGATGCAAAGCATGATCATCATCTAAAGTCAGATCCAGACCTAAGCAGTGTTCTGCACATATGCAGACACTCAAAAGCTGCTGACACCTGTGGATGTCATCTTCGGTGAATCCCCAACAGTTGGTTGAGTGCCAGCTATATAAGCAAAGCACAGATTGTTAAACTAAGAAGTACTAGGCAAATTCCTGACTCTCTCCAGTTTCTGGTCTAGTTCAGTGCTACCCAGATAAATGTGGTGAAGGACCAGTTTTCTTGTTTTGGTTTGTTGTTTTTAATTTCTAGTCCATCACAGACTGATACTTTTATAAAATACAGTAAAAATTAGTTACTCGGAAATGAAATTTAAAAGATATGTAAAATAAGCCCCAGTTTTTAAAATTGTTTTTATATTCAGCAGTTATAAAGGTATTCTGTCAAATTGCCATTAAATTTTCTAATCTCTTACTCTCACTGACTAGAAACAATCTCATAAGCTAGTAGCAGTGTTTTCAGACCAACACTGAGCCATGGACCATGCTTTGGGTCTCACTGGTCTTTTTGCAGGGGAGCAGGAGTAGCGACTACTCTCTTACACTTATGCTAAACATGTGCTGAATACACATCCTGCTTTTTTGCCCACATGCAGTTATTGCTCATTCTTTTCACTTAGCCTGGAATGCTCTCCTCCATCATCTCCCGCTATTGAAATCCTATCTAGGGTTCAATATGTATTTCAAATGCCATCTTTTTCATCAAATCCTTCATACCCTCCCACCAATACCAACAACAACAGCTGAGTTTGAGCTTTCTCTCCTCTTTTTTGATATTTGTAGTCTGCCTCATACCATGATAATAAGAAGGCAGTTAAAGGTGTGGTAAAGAGGTTTGAGCTCTGAAATAAAAAAAACCCAAGACTCAGGCCCCACTGTGGTGACCTTAAACAAATTCTTAACCTCTGTTTCTTCATCTGTAAAACGTATGTAAGTATGGTGCCTATCCCAAGGGTTTGTCACAAGTTTTAAATGACATATTCCATGAGAAGCATCTTACATAGGAACTGACACATACATAGTAAGCATGCCATTAATATAACTGCCATTATTATTTGTTCCTGACTTATCTTCTACCCTTTTCTTTGCCCTTATCTCACTATATTGAGAATAGGGTTGCTATTCCCAATAGGAACCAGGACGGTGCCGCTCAATAAATATAAGTTGAATTTAATGCTAAGTGCTGTGCTATTTAAGTGATGCAAGCAATAGAATAGAATCAGAAAGAGATTACTGATAGTTGGAAAGGTGAGGGAGGTTTCATGGAAATGATAGTATTTAAACTGAACTTGGTGCAGGAGTCAGCATTCTGACCCTAATTGGTGACAGGCCCTGACACATGACCACAGGCAGGGAACACTGCCTGTGTAGAGACTGTACAGGAGCATTAGGAAGTAGAGGAGGGAAGGCGGCCTGAGGTCAGTTTATAAAGGGCCTTAAAGGCCTCCTTGCAGTGTTTTATTTTCTCCTTTTAGTGTGTGGGACCTATAGAATCCTGCTTCCTACAGAGGGTGATTTTTGAGAGAGAGGAAAGTGGAGCTCAGGGACCCAAGGAAGAAACCAGAAAACTGATGAAATCCTTTCACCTAAATGAGCATTTCCTAAACTATTTCTCTGAATATTAATGTTCTTCCTGGTGTTGATTAATGTTCTCTTGGGGTAATGGGCTGTACTAAAAAAAACAAGTTTGAGACTTGTACTGTGTCTGGCTCTCCCCTTGGAGCCTGACCATGCATCCTGACTTATTGATAATCCTTTAATCAAAAAGTCTGTTGAAACCTTCGTTGAGCTAGTGTTTCCCAAACTTAATTGGCCATAGAACTTTTTCCTTGAAATGTCTGTAAACATCTTACAAAATACAGTTTAAGAAACAGTACTGTAAACAGCCCTAAACCCAAAGGTATTGTAAAGAACAAGTAAAATTGGCTATTTCTCAGTGCGTACCAAGTCCTAGTATCTGGTGCAATCAATCGCGTAATTGCCAAACAGGAACCATGTTGTCTTAAATTGCTTGGTAGGTATTTGGCAGGATTACTCTGAGCAGGGATTTTGCAGGACCTCACCAGTTGCTTAGGTTCAGAATGCCAGGTTATTTACATTCCATCACATCCATCTCTTCTATCCATTGTGTCTCTACAAATGTCCCCTGTTGCCATGCATGCACTCAGCACTCAGTGATTCCCAACCTTTGTGAACTGCAGCACTCTAATGAATCTATTGTTGTTCTCCTTCCCTCTATACTTTTGAAAGATTTGTTATGCAGTATATGTGTAAAGGAAAGTGAATGAAAATGAGTTTCTTTAAAATGACAAACCTTGAGAAATTTAGGAATATCCTTGACTATCAAAACCAAGGTTGGCATTCATTGAGCTATGTGGTCATACCATTTTTCCCCTAATTTAACAGTATTAAAATTATTAGAAGTGGCTTAAAGTTATCTTGCTGGATTATTTATGCCTGAATCAACATAAATCTTACATACTTTCAGAAACTTATTTTTAAATCTCAATCATACTACTTAGTCACTTGTTTAATAGATTTTAATATATGTACCATCAGTTAATTTTTTAAAAGTACGATGAGCTGATCATAGGCATGGTTGGCATTTAATAGTTGCTTACCAATTTAAGATAAGTGATGCTATCCTCAATTATAATTATGCAGTAGATATACATGGAGTGCTTAGAACCTGGCACATAGTAACATTACATAAAGAGTTTTGCTACTATTGTTGTTATTGTAGTTGTTTTGAAGATTGGGGTTAGGTCTTGCCTGATTTTTATTTCCCAGTCTTCAAAATAGTTCACACTTCATTTTTAATTGCTGATATTTTTAATTGAAATTGTAGGAGAATGTCACCTAAACAAAAACTCAAGAATTAGAATTCATTAAGTTTTTGAGTGATTGATGTAAATCCTTTTGACCATAATAAATTATTAAAATAAGGCATTAAAATCCAAAATCTTTGCAGATTTAAACACTATCCAGCTACTTGTTTTTGTATAATTATTTTACGTGACCTCTAATTTAAGACACAGTACCTTTTAAATATTTTTGTATGATTATGCTTACATTAAGCCTTCCATACATTTCCATGTTATAGAAAACATATATAGGATACTTTTAAAGTGCTTGTTGTAATTTTTTTAAAATACTTTTTGAAAGTCCAAATCTCTAAATAACTAATTGTTTTTTGCTTTAACTTCTCCAGCTTACTGAAACAAATTCAAGTATCAAGTGCTTGGACTCCATGTGCTGTTTCTCAGAAGGAGAAACAGCGTGCGCATCTATTAGAAGAATGCTGGAACGAGTTATAGGAAGATGTAGTCCGACCCATGTCAGCAGGTGTGAAATTTCTCTAAGTAGCCTTTGCTGCATATGAGTGTCTTATAAACTGGAACAGATGAACATGCTTCTCTAGATACCTAATAAATCAGCAGCTGGTTTTACCAACTGAAGCAGAAAGTGTGCTATTTATTAGCACTCTTTGATGGTAGATTTTATTTTGTAGCTTTGGGGTAAGGGGTTCTTTCACTAACAAAGGAAGAGAAAGCACCTTTGAAGAGACTGCATCTAATGAACAAAAATTTTGCTTTACCATCTTTCTAAAATGTGAATAGGAGTATGTGTATGGTACTCTTATTTGGTTTTTATAACTTTTTTCGAAATATACCTATACTTCTGTTTTATTTCCTGTATTTTTTTTGTTTGTTTCTTGTATTTACAAAATAACCTACACATAATAGTAAAATCAAAAGATTTTGCTTTTCTTCATATATATTTTCTAGTCATTTGAGATTTTGAGGTATTTATAAACACAAAGCTGTATTGCTTTTCTTCTACCCCATTTTATCTATGTAATGAGGTTTTAAAATGATTTTTAAGTTTTTATTTGGTATTTATGGTCTAATTAAAAATTTATAAGTTAGAACAGGCTGTATATTATGGTTTAGAAGAATCTTAGCATTTTTGTTTCCTCTCATATTTATTTCTTAAAAGATTTATCAGTGCTTGCTTTTGTGGATCAAACAAACAATATAATTTTTTTGGTAAATTCCACTTAAATTTATTTAAATGTGAAATGGATTCATTTCTTCATACATTTCCCCAAGAGGCATATTATTATTTAGGGGATATTAAGGAGTAGAAATAACTTTTCATATTTTGGTGTTCTTAGAGAAATGACAAATTCTTAAAATTAGAGCAGCAGTGTCCTAGTGTGCATGAAGGCTTACAGACAGGCAGGGATAGATGGTGATTTCCATCGTCCTCAGTTTGTCATGGAAAGAGTATCACTCTCCACATGGGCCATGTGCTTAGAAAAGGTTGGAAAGTACCCCAAGGGCAGAGAATAAAGAGTGGAGGAGGCACTACTCTTATTTGTTGATAAAGGAATTTTTAGTATTTGGTTAGCCTCGTGTTTTAAAAATGATGACTATGATATCCTTCATGTACGATAAAATTCTGGGAACCTTTTTTGGCAAACTTGTTAGTTCTCACTTTGCCTTTGATGGGAAAGACATGACTTATGGCCATGTCTTTATGGTACAGTTGCATTTATAAGTAGCATTCTTATGTTAGTATAATATCTTATGGTTAGTATAATATCACCATTTATTCATTATAACATGTAATCAAAAATATTTCTATAATGCTATGATATAATTTTATAGTAATTTTATTCCACATAAAAGAATTACTATGAGGAGTTAAATTTATTGACTTCCATGTTATGACTTACACAGTTATATTATAAAATACATCATGAGATAACAGCTCTGTCATGAACCCAGGCCAACAAGTTTCCCTAAGGAATTCCTAGAAGGACCTAATATATATTATTATTTTGCTTATTAAGATAGCTCTACTATACAGAGCTAAGGTAGGAGTTATACTAAGAGACTACTATAGAATATCACAGAATTTTTTAAATGTCTACTTTGACAGGAAGTTCTCTTTAATGACAGTATACATCTTCACTATTTAAAAAAAGCTAGAATTAATTTTAAATGAGCCAAAAAATATTTTTCTGCTATAGATATAGTTCTATTTTCTTGGTATCAGTTATTTAGGTAATATGCCCCTATTATTTTTTACATAGCCATTTTTTCACTGCATTGCTCCTTTGGACCTGCCCAGGGATTATGGATTTTTGCAGCATGTTCTCTTGAAAGTGGCTATTAGCATCTGTACTTCTTTTCACTTAAAATTGTACCATAGTCTTTTCTTTGATAGGACTTTATATTTTTAATTTAGCTAATAAAATGTTTACCATTAATTAATATCTTATTTGACAGACTACAAATACCTTTCCAATTTTGTTCAACATCTCAAGTTATAATTATTGATTTCTACTATCATTATCTCCTTTTTTCCTTCAGATGAATAATATAAAAAGTCTTCTGAGATCTATTCATTTTTTTTCTAGTAGATACAATTATACAATACGCAAAACCACCCGGTGCTTTTAAAAAGCTATACGAAAATTGCTATAGATTATTAACATTCTGTTTAAACTTCGAAAGTCATTTTGATATGTAGAGTTTTGTTCCTGTTTTTTACATATAATATATTAGTGAAATATGTTTGGCATTTCTGTTTTGATTTGGAGCAGCCTGTATTTTACAATTCTATTTCATGCCTAATTTAAAAGGTCGAGCAAGGCTGGTACCTCAATTACCAGATGTAGAAGCCCTTGGATATTTCCTTAACATATTAAACATAAGAGGTAATGAGTATCACTTGAGAAATAAAGCTAATTCTTTTATATGACCGATTTCTCTGCTGATTAAACTTTTACTATCCAGGCACAAAAATTCCACTTACATTTTATTAATTGATATTGTTAAAGAAATTTGCCATATAGCAAGCTTGGTTTCAAAAGTAGCATCATGGTGCTATATAAAGGATGCCATGTTATACCCCAAAGGGCTGTACTTTAGCAATAAATGATTTTTTGTATGTGTTTTATCAACAATTACTTTATCTTTAAGAATACTATTTTCTAAATAGAAAGCAGTTAATAGTTAATATGTCATTCAGGTGTTTAATGTTCTGTCAAATATGATACTTAACTTGTGAATACACATGTGTGCTTTGAAAAGATAATAAATGAAGGAAACCTTACCTAATAATATTTTTCTATGTAAGCAATTGTTGAAAAGAGGAAAAATTATTATAAAATATTGGTAATGGGGGTATTGATACTTATGTTTTATTATAAGGGCCTGAGCATACTTTTTCTTGCATGACTACTTTGAGAAATGTTCATATTCTCATTTCATTCATATATTTTACAAATACTGAGTGCCTGTTACGTACCAGGTGCAGTTGTAGGTGCAAGAGAGACATTAGTGAACAAGCCCTTCCTTAGACTAAGGTAGATATTGTTTAAGGTTTTCTGGAAACTAGTAATTCCATAAACCACTGGTATGGTTGTTGGTTGTTTGTCTTCCTCTTTGCTAACTTTCTAAAATTTCTAGGTTCCAAACTTCGCTATGACTGTGCTCACTTAATCAATTTAAACTTGAACTACAAACAGAGTCTCTAGGAAACAGCAGATATTTGATAAAAGTGAATTTGGACCATTTTAAATGCTAGTTTCTCCCTTTAACATCTTTGTTTAAGGAAAATGGGAGCCCTGGAAAATTACATGTATTTATTGTTAAGTGCTTTTAATCTTCTAAGAAAAACCACCTTTTACTTGGTTATCCTGATATTTTCCTTGAAATAGATTAGGTTGTTTTAAGCATGTCAGGCTATTTTTGATCTTGAGTTATTGTAGCTTAAATTAATACAGCTGCAAATAAAGTATTACATAATGAATTGCTTATGTGCCTTATCATTTGGACTATAGTTAACTTTTCCAGACCAGTAGAGGATCATTTGTTCTTAATTAAGTGAAAAGCCTAGTGTCTTTGATACCTATTGAATAAACCACTCACTACACTCAAGCTAATTATGCTAAATGTTAAGAATAGAATTTATAGCTGAAAAGAAGTAATAATATTATATGAACATAGTGCTATTTTATTCTGAAACTTTTGGTAAGTGCAATTTTTGTTTGTTTGCTTCTGTGATGTCAGAATACAGCCTAGTTGCTTTTCAGTAAAACTGAATGTGCATATCTCTTAATAACAAACTTTCTTTTTGACAATTTTTCTTATTGACTTAAGATTTTAAGAGCGTCTCATGCTTTGCTACTTATAGAAATTGTTTTAATGCTACTAAATGTTTTAATTTTGGCTAATATTTTTATATGATGACTAGAGCATTATTTTTCCCAAGTTTTTTGTATAATATAAATGGAATGTTTGGTCATTCGATGCTAGTATGAAGAACTTTTATTTAACTTTTAAAAATGAAGCAATCAGTGATTATTTTAATACTCAAATGTATTTTGGTCCTAAGTTTTAGAGTAAATCTTTTCTCAAATAAAACATAGGTCCTGGTGAGCCAAACTTTTCTCTTATTATTACTTTAGATTATGGAGTGCATCGGATCCTTTCTATACCAACGACAGGAGCATCTTGACTCTCTCCACAATGGACTCATCTACTTGTTAAAAGGGCAGTAGTACTTTGTGGGAGCCATTTCAGCTCCTTTTCTAAAATTCAGTGTGATCATCCTGGCCACCGTAGCTCTACAGAATTACTTTCTGAAATGTCTGGAATAGTTACTTCATACCCACTCAGAGTTATAATGGCAAAGAAAAAGCATTAACGCAAACAACTCTTAACCCCCTTAATTTAATCTGAATATGTTAAAATTTGTGAATAAAGAGACATTTTCCATCTGTTTGTCTGGGTTGTCCCTTGTGCTTGTGGGACTCCTAATGACATTTCAGCCTCTTGCTAAGGCCACCACATTATAATATTAAGGTAGAAAGAGATAATTCCTACTTAATTGTATTTTTTAGTATTAGCTTAGTTATCGAGTCTTCTATTTAAATCTGCTTCTGTAAATTATGCTGAAAAGTTTGCCTTTGAAAACTCTATTTTTTCATTAGAGTTGTATTTGAAGCTTTTCATGAGAAAAGTAAATGTGAATAGTAAGAATTTTGGTCCCTTAGTGACCCATGTTGTTAATTCATCAGTGCTTTCTAAGTTCATAGAGCAAATTAGGACAGTGCATTTCTAACCATTATTTACTGCACTGTGGGTAGTAAATGTATTCCAGTACCAAACTTCTCTAAATGTACTGTAATGTAACCAGTAAAGGTAACCAACCATATACATGCAAAGGGTAAATCATATCTTAAACATAAATCGGGAATCAAGTCCATTCACCAGATTTCAAATAGATGTTTACTAATATTTTTATGACAATATGAAGTGGGTAAATTAGATACCATTAGCATAGTATTTTTAATGTGTTTATCATTGGATCTTTTGCATGCTTTAATCTGGTTAATATATTTAAATTTGCTTTTTTCCCCCTCCATCTGAAGGCTCTGTTTATAGTATTTTATGACACTGTTGTAAAGTTCAACTATATCAATAAAAAACACATTTGGACAGTATTTAAATATTGCAAATATTTTTAATTTACTAATCAAAATATAGAGGAATTAAATTAGCAAAAAGAGAAGAGCCTCTTTCTGTGGCTAGAATTGCTCTAGCATTTTGGTAAGCAAGATATTAGAAAAAGAATTTCAGATAAAAATCCTGTATTTTTAGGTTAGTTTATGTTATCTTAGTTACAGGAGACCACCACAGTAAAGTGAAATCTGCCTAGTGTTCCATAAGGTATCTTTTCGGGTGTGGCTATAGAATGTAAATGAAACAAAGTCTAAATGCTAAATTTTATGGGATAATGGCAGCAATAAATTAAAATGCTAAGAATGATTAATCAGGTACGTATTACTGTATTTAACTCACTGCACTTCAATATTTAACTTCCATCCTGAATATATCATGTAGATCCACTGTTGTTATTTGTTGTGATCAAAAGTAATGTTTTAAAACTTAGGAATGATTACTGGTTTAAGACTATTACCCAGGTCTAAGCATATAATGATTGTGTATGTATACATTTAAAACTGTATGGAAATGGTTAAATAAGGTTTTGCCAAAATTTTCCCTTGAGAATATAATAATTCCTTTTTGTAGATTTATTGTGCAACCCTCCACCCCTTTCCCATTTCATGAATATAAGACTCA